TACTCAATAATTTTATTTTGACTTAAAAATTCTACTGCAGTATTTAGAACCCAGATGTTTCTGTATTGGCTAGTCCAGTAAAACCAGAAAGTTAGATTAATTTGTTTGCATATTGCTCAAACAATGAAGTGCCCAAAAAAACCCCTAAATGGTGAAAAGTTTTAACTACGTTTTAGTCGTAAACTTTTTTGTTACCAGCACATTATATTATTAATTTGATATTGCTCCCTTTAATAAAAAAAGGGACAAAGTTTATGACTTTATAGTACAGTGCTCCAGTTTATTAGTTCTGCTTTAAAAGTGTGGGTCTGCTTCCTCATATTCTTCACATATCTATATTAAAGATTTTCAGGCTATGATTCAGCTCTGATGAACCTATTTGTCGTATTCATCTAAACATTAGCAGTTTTCTTGGTGCGTAAGGCTATATCTACACTATGAACTTTGGTCAATACAGAGATGTTGGCTTAAAGCCACTGCTGTAAGTATTTTGCTTGTGCCTGTGTGTTTGACTCCTTTTGTCTGTGGTGTGTACACTCATCAGAAGTGCTTGTATTTGATACACGTGCAGTGCACCATTGTAGATTTTCTAGTTTTGCAATCCTGTCACCATCCCGCACACTGTCTTCTGGCAAAATTTTGGCAATAGCATGGTGGGGCAGAAACAAGTTGTGCAGAGGTGACTGGGAGCAGAGTCAGTTTCCATCCCATGTCATATCTTTTTTCAAAAGTCTACAAACCCACACAGCCCTCCTACTGTCCAATATCTGACAGAATCATGGAGTCCATACAACTTTGAACTCTTATCACGAACGTTGCAAGCACAGGATGTACAATCCTCTGGTATTTGCAGAGCCTCAAGAATAACTGAATCAATGGGAAACATAACTTCTTGGAGGCTGTTGGTGCTGTTCATGGAGAAGCTCAGATAGCAAAGTGCTGCTTCTAGGCCTCGGAAGTGAGCACTGACTGGCAGGGATGCAGTGGCATGAGGAGCAATGGCTGCAGAACTTTTGGATGTACAAGGTCACATTCCTGGATATGTGTGCCAGGCTCACTTCAGGCAATTCAGTACAGTGACACCAGAATATAAAAGCTATGTTGGTAGTGGAGAAAAGTGGCAATTGCATTGTGGAAACTTGCAAAGCTAGTTTGCTACAGTATGATGTGACGTTACTTTGGAGTTGGAAAATCCATTATGTGGGCCATTGTAATGCAAGTGTACAGGGTCATTAATTGCCTCCTGCTATGTAGGACTGTGTCTCTTGACAATGGCAATGTGTGGATAGAGTGGATGGATTTACAGCAGTGGAGTTTCTGAATTGCAATGGAGCAGTAGATGGCATGCATATCTTTATTTTGGCACTAGACTGCTTTGCCACAGAGTAAATCAACAGAAAAGCACTGGTGGACCAATGGGGACGCTTTACAGACTTTGATGTGGGCTGATCAAGTATGATTCATGACACTCTCACATCTTTAAGAACACAGGACTTTTCAGAAAGTAACAATCAGGGACTTCTTTTTCTGACTGGTGCATTTCCATTGGTAATGTTGACATTCAAATAGTGACTTGCGAGCGGGGCTGCTATCTGTTGCTTCCTTGGCTCAGGCTCGTGACAGTTGAATCTCTTTGATGCTATTATCTCAGCAGTTAAAGAGTACAGTTGAATGCGCTTTTGGTGGATTATAGAATTGCTAGAGTTGGTTGTTCTCATGATTGGACCTCAGTGAGAAAAATATTCCAATCGTTATAGTCAGGGCTTGACGATCGCAGCGAAAACCACTCGCCAGCCCCACACCATGCACGCGCGAGACCTGCATTGCGCATGCGCAGACCACTGGTGAACAGGGCGACTGGCTGAAATCTTCTCGCCACGGGCATAGTATATTTGTTGAGCCCTGGTTATAGTTATCTGCTGTGTCCTGCATAATATCTGTGAAGCAAAGCGGGGGGAGGTGTGGAGCTTCCACTCGGATTGACTGTCAACATGGAGCTATGCAACTCAAGGAGGCTTTGAAAGAGCACTCCAGCAGTGAACCACTGCAATGCATTATGGTGTATTCTGATTTACCTGACTGCTGTTTTGTGGCCTGTTAGGTTTGTATGGTGCTTGAATAAATATACTACTGTCAATGTCCCTATTAATTTTGTTTGTCACTGATCCTACAAAATGCCACATTTATACAGTAATAAGTAATTAGCTACATTCAGAACTGCTGGGGGATTCTATCATATATCGAGAACTAATAAAGGGGAATTATGTTCAAAACGATAGAATTTTAACGAACAACTAAATCACTGATAAATTCATGCAAATGAAAGCAAATAAATTAAAAAATACATTAATACAACCGAATTTAGGAAGGGAAATAGCATTCATGTTTGTGCTAGCTACAGTAGAGCCATGCAAATCTGCTGATATATGTTTTATATTTATTGGTATCCACATCTGTGGTTGTAGATGCGGATATCTGTGGATTGTTTTGCAGATGTGGATTGCAGATACAGATTTTGTATCCACATGGGACTCTAAGCTATACATATACCTTTCTTCCAGGTCACTGTATATGAAGCTGTGGTTGTCTTTAATATCCCCTGGGATGGTATGGTAGGGATAGGGCAGCAGCCCCTGGGGCCTTATTGAATGATGAGGGAGACTGTAGAGAGGTGCTGCAATGGAGTTCCCCATGGGCTGTAAAGGAAATGGCCCTGGGATTGTTAAACTTGTAGGTCCACCACCATCTGCAGCATCTGGATTTGCTGGCCTGGTTTGTCTCCCTCTTTATCATCTCCCCTCTTTCTGTCTCCAGGCACAATGCTCATGGTCTGATGCAGCACTGGCTTGCAGGATCTCATTAAATGTGTCATCTTCAGTCCTTTTGTTTCTCTTCCTCATCTGGCTCGGGTGTTCTGTGGATGTGGAAGATAAACCCCTGAAGGATGCAGTGGCAGAAGCTGCATATAAAACACACAAGAGGCTCACCATTGTCAGTATGGTCACAACAGAAAGTGAAACTTAAGGTTCAGACATCCCTTTCATTGCTCCCATAAAGTTTTAACGAATACATACTCATTGACAGTTCTGTTTGGGATTGCTTCTGTACGTTTCACTCTCATACAGTTTTGAATATAGCTACGGTGACCATATTTTCTGAACCAAAAATAGGGACACATTAGCCATGTCTCCTGACTCTGCTAACCACACCATGGACCCCTTAGGCCTTGCCCACCTGCCACAGAAAAGCCCACCCGTGGGGGTAGAACTTCCGGGGTCAAAATGGACACATGACCGCAAGTAAAGGTGTCATTTGTTCCCTCTAAGAACTCCTCCCACTGCCTTTTACCAGTAAGGATGGGTTTGGGTACTATAGGAGCCACCTGTGCAACTATACTGCAATTACATTTGGGATCCAACCTCAATTCAGAATGAGATCCTATTACTTTTCAGTGTAGATGCAGCTCCATTTGACCCAGGGCTTGGGAATCATCCAGAACTATCCCACAACTTCATGGGACAACTTTCTTAGTCCTCCTAACGGATGATGCTTACCAGTTCCAATTAACTGGTAATTGGAGAGGGCTGGAGCAGCTCCCCTTCTGCTGTGGCCAGGGGGGCTGCTGTAGCCCTACTACAGACAGTGGTTGTTCTTATTTGGAGCAGCCCTTGTCTGTGTGAAACCCCGGGGGCCCTGAAGGCAGGGACTTGCACCAGTGTCCAGTGCGGCCTCTCTCGCTGGGGAGTCCAGCTTGCTGTGGACAGGGGCTGCTCTGGAGGGGGCTGGAAGCTGACGGTAGCCCCAGTGTGACCGAACATTAACCGGTTAACCGATTAAGGGGAATTTACATCCCTAATGAGATGTACTGTGACTGCATTTTTTGAAGTTACTGCAAAACTATCGAGTGTCCTTTGTTTCTACAAGCCAGAATGACAATACTGAACTAACCATGACAATTTACAGGGTGGAGAAGACCATATCACTGCTTGAAAGGTATTTTTCTCATAGAGATCAATGGGTCTGGGCTATTTTATATTTAAAGCTACTGTGAGATGTGTATGTCAGTACCATGGTGGCAATACTTACATTATGTAGTGCCAGTACATTCTAATATTAAAAATACCTTAATTAATGTACAGTCTGAAATACTTTATTATTTATACAGCAGTAACACACAGAGACCTTAATCAGGGACCCTTATGCTATACTCTGAGCATATTTAAACTAACACCCCAGGTCATATTGACAGGGGACTAGGGTTTTTTGGCTTTCTGTAACATGGGACAGGAGTCACTTGCCAAGATTATCTGGATATATCTCACTAAAGCAGTTATTTGCCCTTTCAGGGGCCTCTGGGATTGGTTTATCTCAGTCCCTCCTGGTCTTGATCTATGACAGTTCAAAAAGTTTTTAGTCTCTTTAGGACAGTAATACTTTGCTCTAATACTGGTTGTTTGGCTTGCTGTGGAGGTCCCATTTAGTATCTTTAATACATAGGTGGTCAGACTAGATATTCTATTGGTCTCATCCCGACCTTAAATCTATGACTCAAAAGTCTGCTACATTAATCAGTTTATTCAAAAATGTACAATTATTGCTTTATTACTGTATACTTTTTTGAAACTAGGGATGTGAAAGTGTATTGGTTAATGTGCACCGTTACATGCAGGGCCTCCTCACTGTGCTGCTGCCTCTGTATCAGAAGCAGCAGCACGGGGGGCAAGTGGGAGCCAAGTGGGAGCCAGTAGCTGTGGGGGGCTGGCTCTTAAACTGGTCCCCTTGCACTGCTGCCTCTGATATAGAGGAGTCAGGCAGGAGCTAGTGCTCGTGGGGAGCTTAAAAGCCAGCACCCTGTACACACTGGCTCCCAGGGAGCAGGCTGCCCCCTTCCCCTCCCCCCCACACGTGTAACCATTGACATTTTCAGCGATTACAAATTTTTCTTTAAAAAACATATTTCAACATCCTTATTTGAAGCATCCTTCTCCTTTCTATTGCAGGTCCAGTTGTTTATGTCTTGGACCTGGCAGATCGGCTGATATCAAAAGCATGTCCATTTTCTGCAGCAGGATGTCACCTATGGAGCTGTGACAGTGATGCAGGTTCAAATTAACTTTTTTCTTACATGTTAATACTTTTGAAACAACTTTCTTAAAATTCTCCTAGCTATATTTTTCCTTTTGCATTTTAAAATTTGCAATAGTTTATAACTGACACAGCCACAGCTTTAAACATATACATCCAGCTGGAATTGAGACAAGCGTAACTAGTGGCATCTGTTCTTTAATTCAAAGGCAACAATTTCTTGGCATACAAAAGGGTTGTAAAAGCACTGTAGGGAGAAGATTCTAAAACATTAGTAGCCTGATAGTGATGCATACAACAGAGATTCCAGCATCTCTTATTGTAACTTACATTGAGCAAACTTTTTGACAATTTCCATCATGACAAGTCACATAGTGATGTGGCCTCCCTACAGATTGAGCACTACCCACATCAGTTTCTGACTAGGTTCTTAAGATGGTCTGGCCATGTATTCTGTTTGTGTGGACTTGGTCATTTTGGCTTTGTTCAAACTTGTCTAGTGGTAATGGAACTTACAGTGTCAATCTTTTATTTTTAATGGTTGGGTTTTGGTCCAAAGTTGTTTAAAAAAATAATTGCACTGAAAACCTAAAGGATTGGATGGCTTATAGGGTTAGTGACAGAATATTGAGTCTTTTTGAGTTTCACGCTCAAATCCAGTGTATGATCAATAGTGACTGAAAACTGTTATTGCTGATGACTGTTTTCCCTGTGGGAAATAAGTTGCTCTTAGCCTCAGTCTGTTTTTTAGAGAAAAGGTGTTATGTACGCAAATAGTTAAACATAACTGGACCTCTAAAATGAGGCCACTTCACATTTAAGGTCTGGTGGTAAGACAAGGTGGAGAATCCTGCTTAATCACTGCTTTAGTTATACAAAGAGAATTTAAGTCACTTTCCAGAGCAGAATTTCATTTTATGTAAAACAAAAAACTCAGTATACCGGGGGGCTGCATTTTTACTTTCTCCCATTGACTCCACAGCAGTTGTACTCGGTGAAAAATTTGAAAGATGTTTCTTCTCTAACTGCCCTTCCTGCCAATCTGCACTTTAACCATAATGAAAATGCTGGAGGCTTCTAAGCTTGCCTATGTGAATTTTCCTACATAGTCTACCCCAATTCAACTGAATTGGTGGACATTTTTTTGTCTACATATTGTCTGCATAAGACCAAAATGAGCTCTTTCTCGGAACTTACAAGACCATTATGATCACCTAGTCTGATCCTTTACTTAATGCAGACTAAGTAAGTTTATCCACTAACTCAGTTTGTGATTGAGCTAAATAAGTAGGCACTAACTGGTCGATAGCAATTAACTTGTCGATCCTGGAAACTTTTCCAGTCGATCATAATCTCTGGTGGTGCAGCAGGGCTTCCAGGCTCCCTGCTTTCCCTGACTCCAGGCTGTTCCCAAAAGCAGTTAGCTCGACTCCATGGCCCTGGAAGGGGAGAGGTTTCCATGAGTTGCCCCTTGCCTGCAAGCAGTGCCCTGTGGCTCACAAAAACCACAGTTCTTCTTCGAGTGGCCTCGTGGGTGCTCCACTGTAGGTGTCGGGTCCTGTCCCGGCACCGCGGCTTGGAGATTTCTCATAGCCGTGTTCCGCCGGCTCGCACATGCGTGCTTCCCTAGCGAGGCGTTTGTGCCTTTGATCAGCTGCACGTGAGCTGGCAACCGTCAGTTCCTCTCAACGGCCTCAGGTCGCAGTTGGAGCTCCCTGAGTATTTCTCTTCAGAATATTTTGTCAGTTTTTGCATCTGTAAATAGTTAAATTTGTTAGTATTAGTCGTGTTCCTGCTAGTTTGTTCTCCTGTTCATAAGGAAATTAAAAAAAAAATTTTTTTTTCCTTAAGCCGCTTCTCTTAAAGCGCTGCGCAAAGCACTAAAAGTGAAATTGACAAGGCTTCCCACGGGGCTTATACAGGCATTTATTCTGTACTCAGTTTGAAAATGCCTGTATCGACTGGTTTTAAAAAGTGTTTGGCATGCCGTGAGCCCATGCCAACGGCTGACGGCAATGACCCCTGCATTAGGTGCCTGGGGGAAGCTCATGTCCCCGAGAAGTGCGCTCACTGTAGAAAATTAACATCGAGAGCCCGAAGACAGCGGGAGATGAAGATAAGAATGCTGATGTTCAGGAAGGTGTTTCAGCCTGACCCAGTCTCTCCCGCAGCCACAAAAGCCCCCGAACAAAAACGCAGGGCAGCTTCCCTGGGACCAGCTGGCTCGAAGCGATGGAAGCCATCTCCAGCGCGATCCCTCCCTTCAGCAGCTGCAATGGCTTCAGGGGCGTCCAAAATGACCCCCGGGGGGTCTGGACACTCTGCTGGGGTGGCCATCAGAGAGCTCCACCACTGAGAGCGAGAGTGGCTTCGGCGCCGGCATCGGGAGCGGTGCCGCAGTTAGCCAGCAAGTTTGCACTGGCCTCAGCTGTGCATTCTGTGAAATTGATGCCAGTGCCGCAATTGACCAGCCGCTCTGCACCGGCTTCAGCGGCACCGGCTATAATAGCGCCTGCCTCATTGGCCCTGCTTATGGCGTCACCGTCCTCCACGGCACCATCTCCTCTGGCACCGGGCTCCGAGGCAGGTCTGGATGCCTCAGCCCCGGCACCGGTGCTGACTCCGGCACCGGACACTCTGCCAGCACCAGCATCAACGCAGCAACAGCTGCTTTCCCCGGCACCGTTAGCCAGCAAGTTTGCACTGGCCTCAGCTGTGCATTCTGTGAAATTGATGCCAGTGCCGCAATTGACCAGCCGCTCTGCACCGGCTTCAGCGGCACTGGCTATAACAGCGCTTGCCTCACCAGCCCCGCTCCCACCGGGCTCCGAGGCAGGTCTGGATGCCTCAGCCCCGGCACCGGTGCTGACTCCGGCACCGGACACTCTGCCAGCACCAGCATCAACGCAGCAACAGCTGCTTTCCCCGGCACCGCTCCACTGCTGTTCGGTGTCTGACTCTCCTGTGGCTGTTAGGGCTAAGGACACCTCCCTACATAGGAAGGCATTATCAAAGACTCATTATAGAGACAGATCCTTGTCTCCAGATTTTTCACCATGAAGGTACTGTCGCTATCGTGACTATAGTGTTTCTCCTACACGGGTCACGTATGGACGGCTTAATTATAGGGACACAGTGTATCTAGAAACGCATCGGTCCCACTCACCTTGTCGATCCTCAAGATATGAGCCTGGCAGACGCTCCCCATGCCGCGTCTATTTTATCCAGCATGGTAGTGCATGCTCGTCATGCCACTCCTCCCCGTTGCGTTCTGAGCGCTATTATGATAGCTACCATAGACCATATGATGATCGTCCCCAGTATGATCGTACATCGTCCTCCCGTAGGGAATCCTCCTGCATTTGTCAACCATTGAGTGCAAAATACTTACTTCATCAATCACAGCACCTAGACTCACCTTCTCAATCTAAGAGTGCAACCATCCAACTAGACCAGTCCGAGCTGGAAGAGGGGCAGTTGCCGGATGTTGAAGACCCCAAACCAGAAACTTCTCCAGCAGACTGCTCCTTGTCATCTCTGGATGAGGTGATATTTCCAGCTGACGACTCTCCACCGGATGATCTGAGACAGTTCCAAGACCTCTTTAAACATGTGGCAGGCACACAGGAAATACAGCTAATGGATATTCTGGTTAAAAAGCACCGTCTCTTGAAAAACCTCTGTCCACAATAACGTGCAAAGATCACCTTACCTATTGATGATGCGATCATGGAAGTGGCAGATGAGATATGGCAGACCCCAACATCGGTTACACCTACAAGTAAAAAGGCAGACAGAAAATATTTTGTACCGACGAAAGGATTGGACTTGTTCAATCATCCTCAGCCTAACTCGTTAGTAGTGGATGCAGCACAACGTAGGGATAAAGCGCCACAGTACAAAAATACGCTTCGGGACAAAGACAATAAAAAATTGGACATTTTTGGTAGGAAGGTCTACTCCTCAGCCACACTTCTACTGTGCATCGCAAATTATTTGGCCCATCTATCAAACCATAATTTTGATAATTATTCCAAATTAGCAGAGTTACTTCATCTCCCGGACAACAAGAAGCCACTCTTGAAGGTAGTAGTCCAAGAAGTGTACGCATCATGTGGTACAGCACTGCAGATAGCCATGGATGTGGCTGACACAGCGGCTAGAGCTACTGCCACAGGTATTGTCATGAGGAGATCATCATGGCTGTCATCTGCAGGAGCCCCCAAGGAGATGCAAAGCAAGGTTGAGGACCTACCGTTTGACAAGCTTAAGCTTTTTGCGGCGAACACCGACGAAGTCCTCCACTCTGGAAAAGATTCACGCACCACTCTACGTACACTTGGGATGTACACTCCCTCCTTCAAACTTAGACGTTATTTTCCTTATCAACGAAGATATGATTTTAATTTCTCCAGACAACAATCCCATCCTTTCGACAATCAACACCCTAGACAACGTCCTCAGTGCAAATGACCCCAACAGGGCTATTCGACCAATCAGTCATCAACTAAGCAGCAAATTTGCAAGCCAGCTACTTGCAATCAACACGGAAGATGAAACTATCCATCTTTTTCATCATTGCCTACGGTGGCAATCATTGCCATCTTTTTCATCATTGTCATTTTACCATCATTGGTCCGACATCACCACGGACAGATGGGTACTAGAAATCGTGCAGTCCGGCCTTTCCATTCCTTTTCTCTCTATTCCCCCTACCACTCCCTCTGCCCCATCCCTTTTCAGGGACCCCTCTCATGAGCAACTGCTACAACAGAAAGTTCAACATTTGCTAGACCTTGGGGCAATAGAGAGAGTTCCCAAGCAGTTTTGGGGAAAAGGTTTTTATTCCCGATATTTTCTCACACCAAAAAAGTCGGGAGCTGAGACCCATTCTAAACCTTAGAAAGCTAAATCAGCACCTTCAGAAGTTTCGTTTCCAGATGGTAACCTTAACTATCATTCCGTCGTTGAACAAAGGGGGATTCGCTTGCAGTCCTCGACTTACAGTCCTCGACTT